TGAGTGTGTGAGTGTGTGTGTATGAGTGTTTGTGTGTGTGTGGGTGGGTGTGCGTGCGTGCATGTGTGTGTGTATGTGTGTGTACGTTTGTATGTGTGTGTGCGTGCTTTTGTGAGTGTGTGTGTATATGTGTGTGTTTGTGTGTGTGTGTGTTTGTGTGTGTTTGTGTGTGTGTGTATGTGTGTGTATGTGTGTGTGCACGCGCGCGCGCGCTCGGGCGTGTGTGTGTAAGATCCTTAGCCCATTTATATAATAATATATGAGATTGAAACCATAATATGATAAAAAGAAAAAACGTGCGTATGATTATGAAAGTGTCCAATAGTGTATTACGTGCATACTTAGTATAACAAGTAACTGTAAAAGCAGAGAGAGATTCCAGGATTATAGATGTAAGACATTGATCTGAGAGCGGTGATGATTTTAGACATAATGGTAGTGAAAATTGATGATGAGGGATTGCGTTTCAGTAATGTTAGCGTTTGTCCTATATCTTCCTGTGCTCCAGTGAGTCACGAGGGACGTGGGCACCCTCTATCTCTATACCCCTGTGCTTCTATTACCAGGGTAGTAAGCCCCCTAGCTAGACCACTTATACACTGTACACCTGTGTGTTTACCTGTTTGTTTTTTAAGTTTTAGTAGAGACTTTACGGCGCTCGCAACTGCATAATAAGGTCATATGGGCGCCAAGGGATGGGTGTTAACAGAGAAGTCCTTACAGGGAATCAGGCTTACTCTGCTCACCTCTCTAACCTCAACAGCACAAAGTCAGCTTCGACTATCAAGGCACCCCAAAAATAGCGGGTCACAAGAGTTTGACAAACATGCAAAAGAAGTAGAGGAAAATGACGATAGTAAGGATGAGGAAAGAAAAAGCAGCAGTTCCCTTTTGCAGTTCCCTTTTGCAGTTCAGGCACAGTAAAGAGCATGGCATTGATGAATCAGCCCATCTACAATTTCAATTCTACTGTGAGTGAGAGCTCGAGGTGTCAATGCCCCTCCCCCTTTTGGGAATGGCCTAAAGACACTTCAGTCAGTAGCACCGCCCTGGGAGGGGGGGTATTGTGTTTACCTGTGTAGTCAGCACTTATACATAATTACACCTGTGTATTTACCTGTGTAGTTAGACCACTTATACATAATTGCACCTGTGTGTTTACCTATGTAGTCACCACTTATACATAATTACACCTGTGTGTTTACCTGTGTATTCACCACTTATACATAATTACACCTGTGTATTTACCTGTGTAGTTAGACCACTTATACACATCACTTATACATTGTACACCTGTGTATTTACCTGTGTAGTCGGCCCCCGAGCTCGACCACTTGTTGGCGATGTTCTCTCCCAGCCTGGTGCCCTTCAGCGTGACGTCACTGTGCTGGAAGCTGCCCGTCTTCACCAGGTGGTCCGCCCACTTCTGGGCGTAGTCGTTGAGGTCAGAGCTAGATATACAGACAGAAAAGGAGGGGGTGGTAATCGTTGAGGTGAGAGCTAGATATACAGAGAGAGAGGGGGAGACAGAGAGAGAGAGAGAGA